AGACGATTATGTTAAAGTAGCAAAAAAAGCGAGGCCATTTGTGAGCAAATGGGCGGTAAAGATTTTAATAAATCTTGATTCGCATCACTATGAAGTGGCTACTCTTCCGTCTTTAAGCAAGTAACTGGTTTTTTAGGAAATTGACTGGCACGTGAATTTGCCAAGACCTTAAAATTAATTGTCATTTAGTGTGGCGTTTGAGGTCTTTGAGACATATAAAGGGAATATTGATTGACACAGAAGATAGGAAAATGCGCAGTTTATCATTACTTTAAAACTTTTTGCTTTCTTGGTTATATTTCCTAAAACACCTTGAATTTAACATGAAATTTCTTCAAGTAAGAAAAGATAAATTACAACAAATTTAAAAAAAACCTCTTAAAATTTTCTTTAAAAAGGCGAATGCGTTGTCCTAATCCAAAGCACCTATTTCCCGTTGAAAGTAAAGTGAACAGAGACTCAGTAAGTATCACGAAAGTGGAGAACAAAATGCTGAATGCAAAATATTAATCTAATTGGTTTTTTCTGTCGTTTGCGTCTTGCTTCTAACGTCACCAGTTTTTTCGCAAATTGCATGGGAATCCCTGCAGTGTTAACCCTAGGTTTGCCATTCCTTTCAGATCGCTGAAAATACGTGACTATAAATCCCTGAAGATTGAAACCTTGCGTGGATGGCCAGACGATTATGTTAAAGTCGCGAAAAAAAACGAGACCATTATGAGCAAATGGGCGGTAAAGATTTTAATAAATCTTGATTCGCATCAACATAAAGTGGCCACTCTTCCGTCTTCTATCAAGCTACTGGTACTTTAGGAAATTGACTCGCAACTGGCACGTGAATTTAAGACCAAGACTTTAAAATCAGATCTCATCAATTGGGGCGTTTGAGGTCTTTGAGATATCGAGAAAGGGATTTGTTTAAAAATAAACGGAATATTGCATTGACAGTAATTAAAAACAGACAAATGCAAAGTTTATTACTACTTTAAAACATTTTGCTGTCTTGGTTAAATTTCCTAAACTACACCTTTAACATGAAATTTCTTTAAGCAAGAAAAGATAAATTACAGCAAATTTTAAAAATCCTCTTGAATTTTCCTATAAAAAGGCAAACGCGTTGCCCTAATCAAAAGCACATATTTCCCGTTGAAAGTAAAGTGTACAGAGATTCGGTAAGTATTACGAAAGTGGAGATCAAAATGCTGAATGCAAATCTAAAGATGGTTTTCTCTGTCGTTTGCGTCTTCCTTCTCGAGTCACCAGTGCAAGTTTTTTCTCAACTTGGATACAAATTTATTGTTTTACACAGATCAAGAAGCACACAAGAAAAACTGAACACGATCAATTCTTAAGATGAAATTTTCAACAATGCTGGCTTTTCTTGCACTCTGTAGTCTAGTGGTGTTTCATAGCGCCTTTGCTCGGTGGAATTGTCAATTCGACCGCTATTGTGGAAAAAGCGAGGTTTGTTCATGGAAAACTGATTTTGCTAAATACAACCAATTTATTTCCTTTTTTGTCGCGAAATCATGCGCTCTTTGATATAACATAGCGAAAATGTTCTAAGAAAAAAAAAACAGTTAAACTTAATATAACATCTTAGTAATAAGACGTGATCATGACTCAAAATACTCAACGCAACTAAAATCTCTGTCCTGAATCAAAACTGCTTCTCATACCATTGGACAGGAAAAGTTAGTTTTCGTACAGGAAACAATCCTTTAAAGAAAAAGTAACTGACGGTTGATGTTAGGCAGAATCTGCTTAATTAATTTGCGTTTGAAGTAAGAAAACCCATCGGAATATTGAATTAAAGTTCTCGGATGAATACCTAAGATAATTTACACTAAAGAGCCAAGTGATACAAGTCAGAATAGGTTTCTGGTACTGTAGAAAGCAACCATAAACCTGTCTTTCTTTTTCTTAGCTGCAAGACAATTCTGGAAGTGATGTTGCACCTCAAAGTAACCGACTTGCCGATCGTCTTCGCCTCCTGAGAAATGCTCGTGAGCAGAGACTGCGGCTTAGACTGAAGGATCATAGAGAGAATAAATAGATTAAAGTGGAAAGTTCTTAACTTAAATTATCAATTTAAAACAAAAAATTTAGTCTTAGTCTTAATTCATGAGGAAGATAAGAGTAAATTTATTTAGATAATATTTCCTTGGTTTTCTCCAGACTTGTAATTTGAATGATAAGAGAATTTAATAAATTTATCATATCTATACTGTAATACTTTACAGTTTTGTTAATGTCATTAAGCTGAGCGTTCTAGAAATGTATTTAGAATATCTTAGAAAGTTCTTGGTTTCTATATGAAAATGTCGGGGGAGCAAAACATTTTCACACTCCAATAAGCTGTGCTTCATGTGGTAAATTTCCTTAGTATAAAGCGATCCAAATAATTCTAGAATAACCACTGCTTACTTTAATAATGAAAAATAATCTGCTTAAGGAAGGAAAGAACCCTTTATTTTCACTCAACTTAAGTGAACAACTGTAAAAACAAAAACAATACGACTGCCATTGAGAAATACCTCATGTACCGTACCAAGAGTAAAAAATAGATTTAGCCAAAGCTAAAAGAGAAGCTCTCGAAGGATATTTTAAGAACTATCTTTCTCAAGTAATTCAACTTTTGCGGTAAGCAGAAAGCCAACTGAATTCCACCTTTAAAAAATGGACCTGAGCCTGCGATCAATTGAAAACCAATAAAAACTTAGTCATCGGATAACTCTAAAAAGATACGTTACCTTAATGAGTTGTACAACTGAGCCCGCGATACAGTCATATGACACTGGTCAGCGGATACCTTTTTGTACAGCTGTCAATTGGCTATAACATAGATGTCCAATACCAAGTTAAACATAGACAGTACATACCTTAGACTCCTAGCTAGTAAGTATGCTATTTCACATCTCCTAACATAAGGGTGGACGTACCGACGATTTTGTCAGAAACAAAATTTCTTGGATACGTAGATAACCCATGGTGCTCCGCTGCATCCGCTTCGCGCGAGCGAGAGGTCCGCTAAAAATGGAGTTTAGAGTTTCATTATTAACGAGCAGGAATGTTTCATCAAGTGTGAAACACGAGGCACATTGATCATTGGGGTCGTATCATGTAACCCGGCCTATAAATTAACAGTTAAAGTCAAGAAAGCTAGTTTGTGAACTTCTTTCCAGTGGTTTCAAATTTATTGTTTCAAGACGATTATTAATAATTTAATATAAACGAGAGCTCCGCTTTTAGGTTTGGTTAACGCTTTTTATATTTTATTTTAAACGTAAATCATTATATAGTTATCATTTGTGTTCTCGTCCACATAAACGTAAGTAAGATTGGAGTTAGTAGATTTGTCAATGTTCTCGCTTTGTTTTAAATTTATTATCTCACGTAAACGATCAGTCTTAATCTAATTCGGGAAACTCTGGTCGCTCAATTATTTCAAGCCGAATCAGTCAACTACTGAACACACTTATACGTTTGTTCATTGTCAGTTAAAACCTCTAGTACAGAAACCTCGATCTATCCTGCATAAACTGAGACACGACCCACTTCTTAAATTCTAGCAACTTGCTGGAATTACTGCGCTTTTCACAAACGTGCGAATTCTGAATCGATCTGAAGTTCAAAAGCCAGCTGACGATTGCGTTTTTCGCTGCCGTCAATTATCTTAACGGACCTCTTAGGAAACAAAACTTTACTTTAACGGGTTCAAAAGGTCAAGGTTTGTGATTTGTGATTGGTGGATTTCGATCCCTTTTTGTGTGTTTCTGTGTTTTCAGGTTCGTTGCTTGTGATTGTAATTATGATTGACGGCAGCGAAAAACGCAATTGTGAAGGCGGCTTTTGAACTTTAGAGTTCGCGTGTTTGTGAAAAGCGCAGTAACTAACACATAAATAAAGTATCAGGGTACCCTCAGAAATGACGAGAGTTAACTGATGTTTACACCATTCATGTTCAGTGTTTCAGTTTTGCATGAAAAAAAAAGCAAAAAAATCCTATTAAAAGCTGTTCTAAGTCAATATAACATGACTCCAGATATGATCACTTTGTGGAAAACTGGCTATTAAAATCATTCAGAAATATAATATCTAACTGCATAAGAGAGCTTTTTAAAACATTTAACATGGAAATTGACGCACCGAATATTTGGCCCCTTTTTCTCTAGAAAAGCCTGATACTAATTATAGGTTTCAGGTTGTTAACATCGCCTTTTGAAAGGTTCGATCACAGACATCTAGTAAAATTTCCACGAATGTACAACACTCCTTCAAACATAGTTGCGTTTACACACAAACAGCAATGCTATAAATAAAGCGAAACCCCGTGCAAAGGTTTGCCATTCCCTTCACATCGCAGAAAATACGTGACTATAAAGCCCTGAAGATTGAAAATTTGCGTTTAAGGCCAGACGATTATGTTAAAGTAGCAAAAAAAGCGAGGCCATTGTGAGCAAATGGGCGGTAAAGATTTTAATAAATCTTGATTCGCATCACTATGAAGTAGCTACTCTTCCGTCTTTAAGCAAGTAACTGGTACTTTAGGAAATTGACTGGCAACTGGCACGTGAATTTGCCAAGACCTTAAAATTAATTGTCATTTAGTGTGGCGTTTGAGGTCTTTGATTGACACAGAAGATAGGAAAATGCGCAGTTTATCACTACTTTAAAACTTTTTGCTTTCTTGGTTATATTTCCTAAACACCTTGAATTTAACATGAAATTTCTTTAAGTAAGAAAAGATAAATTACAACAAATTTAAAAAAAACCTCTTAAAATTTTCTTTAAAAAGGCGAATGCGTTGTCCTAATCCAAAGCACCTATTTCCCGTTGAAAGTAAAGTGAACAGAAACTCAGTAAGTATTACGAAAGTGGAGAACGAAATGTTGAATGCAAAATATTAATCTAATTGGTTGTTTCTGTCGTTTGCGTCTTGCTTCTCACGTCACCAGTTTTTTCGCAAATTGCATGGGAATCCCTGCAGTGGATGAGGCTTGAGGAGGCTGGTCAAAACTAATTGTTGAATCGGCTACGTGTTTTCGTGGTTATTACTCATCATCATCCTTCGGCTGCGGAGCAGTCGACCACAAGTTTCCTCCATTGATAGCGGTCTTGCGCCATCTCCAACAGCTGATTGTCATTTAGCAGATTATCAGGATCCCCCAGAAGACAATGAATATAATTGGTGAACAAGGTCCGCTGTCTTCCCGGTTTCTTCCTCCCATAAGTAGGAACATACATTACAAAATCTCTGACAGGCTCATTTTCAGGCAAGCGGAGCACATGACCAAGGAATCTCAGTTGTCGAAGTCTGAGTCTTTCAATAAGGGGGGCTGATTCTGTGAGGTTGCAGATGGTAGCATTTGGCACCCTGTCGATTCGCCCCCAGTAGAATAAGATGCCCCCCCCGCCTCTTCATCAGAAATGGGTGGTCCCCCTTGTATCCCCAAATTTTTGAGATGACCC